GAGAGATGGAGAGGGAGAAAGAAAAAGAGAGAGAGAGAAAGAGAGCGATATCTCTCAGGGGACCTCCTCCAGGGTTAGGGCAGGGTGACCAGGCCAGTATCCACTGCCAGAATCCGACCACCAGCATTGAGGTGCAAGTCCAGAGCCCCAGTTAGTTGCAAGGCATTGGTGTCGCAGCCCCCACACTGCCCGCTGCCAGCTGCTCCTTCCTTTCGAAGTTTCTGAGCAGAGTGTCTGAGCTCATGAACTGCTGTTTGCATCTGAGTGGATCCTCCGGCTGGAGGGAGGATATGGTGATGGGGAGTTGTGACAAGCTTTTACCCTATCTTTGCTTATGATGTATTGAGTGTTGGAGTCTAACACCCACCCCTCATCTTGGGGGAACTCAGTTTGGATAAGCTGGAACCTGTTTTACCTGGATCAGTGTTTAGTGTCCCAGTGGCTGTGCGCTTTGAATAATCAATCTGTCTCTTCCTTCTTAATCATGCACAGTAGAGGCCTCTCTCTCTCTCTCTCTCTCTCTCCTTTCCCTCCCTCCCCTTTCTCCCCCATCTCCTTTATCTGTCAACTCTTTAGGATCTTGTCTTTTTGCTGTTAACATACCCAATGTCACACACCAGCTTTTCTTTAAAAACAAGCTGCTCATTGGTGTATCTGCACACTTCTTTTATTATTATTATTGAATCCTTTTTTTTTCTTTTACCCATAATGACACCAGGATCATTATATAATCCCATAACAAAGAGGCTTTTGAGGCACCAGCTTTTGTCAACTCTAGGACAGAGAATTCATAATTGCATTATTCAACTCCCCCCCAAGTCCCTCCCCCCATTCCTTGCTTCACAGAAACCCAAACTCACACACCACTGAAATCCCCACCTAGTTACCTCGGCTTATATTATTTACCCAAACGTTTGCCTTGAGACCCAGCCTCACAAAGTTGCCTTAAAAAAGTTATTTTGTTTCGTAATTAAGTCCTGGAGCCCACCACAATGATTATTCTGGACCCACAAGGCAGAGAACCTGCGTGACGTTTCTCTCGAAGTTTAATTACCGTATGCTAATTTCCTTGCCTACTACGTGATTAATTAAAATCATATTTTCATAATCATTTGGCACTAGTATTGTTTTAGAATTATCATGATCTCCTAAATAGTGTCTGTAAATAAAGTCGCCTCTAATGGCAGGCGCGGGAGGCGAGGCTGAGGACCTCTCCATGTTTGTATCGCGGCGACTGGCAACATAACTGCCTTATTTACATTAAATACGCCACAAGGTTACAGCGCGGATCAACGTCATTTGATCGCAGATGACTCTCTTAAACGCCCGGGCTGTGACTGATTCTTCACGTCCCGCTGTCCACCGAGATTCACCCGCGAGTCCCCCGCCCCCCCCAGAAAAGAAACAGACTTTAAATAGTTTGCGGAACAGGTAAGAATTACGCGTTTTCCTTTGCCCCTTTTCCAGTCTCTCTCTCTCTCCTCTCTCTCTCTGTGGCAATCGCTCTCTTCCTCTCGGCTGGATAAAAAATTCTTTAGTCAAAGGCAGGAATGCAAAGTAGTGACAAGCGAAGGGGCTGATGTATGTCTCTGTAACGAGTCTGACAATCAGAATGTAGCTCTTGGAGAATAGATAGATTTTAATAAGTGTGTTTACATGAGCTCAAGGTCAGAAGCGAGCTGCGCTGTGTTAAATGGTTTCTTAGTTGCTAGACAGAGAGAAAAAATGGACGATCACACACCATTCTTTGTAGATTATTATATCAAGGGTTCAGTCTCCGGCTCATCAAAGCTAAATGCCGAAAGACCTATCTAGTTGCCGTGAATTACGCCAGGGCGACAATGGAGAAGTGTTTTTAATGGTACAATGCATTTCACCTACCAGATAGGGGAGGCCGAGCTGGGGATGGGATGTCTGCTGGGGCTGGCTGATGAGTATCAATGAACGGGGCGATTCGGAAATGAGGTTGATGAAAACCGAGCCTGCCCTGCCCGGGCTGGACTGGGAGCAGTTGGCCGGGTTCTGCCGAGTGGGCTTGCGAGGCGCGCAAGCTGGGCGCCTGTCCCCCCTCAGCCCCGGAAAATGATCAAGTCAATCATGTGGACATGTTTCATTATTCATTGAACACAATCTTTTACAACGCTCCGTTTACGTGCCCGAGTTTGCTCCCGACGCCCGCGTTTCAGTGTTTTAAGGTAAGGCAAACAAAGGTGGTGGGAGGCCCGGGGGGGAGGGGGGGCGGCGCGGCGGGGGGCGCACCGGCGCGCGAGTGGGGGGAGGTGGCCGGGGTTTTGGGGAGGTGTGAAGTGAGTTTGGACTCTTGGCCTGCCCCCCACCCAATCCCCTCCCCCCGCCAGGCGAGGCCTGCCGCCCGGTTCATTAGCCCCACCGCGATTTAAAAAATACAGTCTAATTAAATATCCGTGGCTGTGACGTTGGAGAGAGAAGCTGTCAGCAGGGGTTAAAGGGGAAAAAAAATAATTTAAAAAAAAAAAAAAAGAAAAGAAAAAAGGAGCAAGAAAACGGAGAAGCGGCGGCCGCCGGGCATCGAATGGCGCTGGAGAACTTCGGCGGCGAGCGGGACCCGCGCCCCGGCCTCCGCCTCCCCGCAGCCGCCGCGGTCCCGGGACCGTTACTTTGAAAGGGAGTCCGGGGCCGAGCGCAGGGCGCGCCAGCGGGACCCAGCGCCCACCCCGCCCGGCCCGCGCCCCCTCGCCCGCACCACCAGCCTCTGATCGCGGCCGGGGAAACTTTCCGTTGGGTCTGGGGCTGGGGGAGCCCAAAGGAAGGGGAGGCTGCGTGGCAGAAACTTCTGCAGCGACTTTCCCCGTTTGCTCCGGTGCCTGGGGCGGGGGTCTACCCGCCTGCCTTCGCCTCCCCGGCAGCCGCTCGGGCAGCGATCTGCCCTCCGCCCGGGAGACTGAGGGTAATTGGCAACCTTTTTTTTTTTTTTTTAAATCAAAGTTAGCTGATGCTTCTGGGGTGCCTAACTTGAGGGCCTCTGAGACCTGCCATTTTGTGTTTGCATTGGCCTCCTGAGCCCGCGGAGCTCGGCCAGACCCGCCAAGGTGCCCTGGGGAGCGAACTCGTGACCCACGGACCACCTAGACACCTGCACGCGCCCATGGTACCTGCTGCACCTGCCCCAGTCCCGCTGAGGTCCCGGGGGCCGGAGGGGGCCTGAGACACAGAAATAAATAAATAACAGGTTATGGAGGGAACTGAGCTGGCCAGTCCGGGGCTGTAGACACAAGGCCAATCAGAACGAAGGAGTGCGGCCCTTGGGGGGCGGGGGGTGGTGGTGGCAGTCAGCAGAAGGGAGGATTGCGGGGGGAGCGCCTGGGAAGACTGCAGTTTTGAAGAGGGACTCACCCCCCAGCCCAGCCCAAGACTAAGGCTGGTGTGATCGTGGCTAATAAGCCTGTTTGCTTCAAGACGTTTTCTTTTTCTGTCTTTCTTTCTTTCTTTCTTTTTTTTTTTTTTGAAGATGAATTAAGGAAAACAGTCGTAGGCGGGACTCGGGATGTATTTTAGGCAAAAAAATAATAATATAAAAATAAAAAATAAAGACGGGGGCTTTCTTTGATGAATAGAAAGTGTCCAGGTCTGGATGCGCCCATCTGTTGCAATTTTGCAAATAACTGAAAATATAGATTATTGCCGTATACATGGAGGTATGTGAAATGACGAAAGGTGGAAATGGGTGCTGGGGAAGTTAGAGAAAAGAGAGAGAGAGAGAGAGAGAGAGAGAGAGAGAGAGAGAGAGAGAGAGAGAGAGAGAGAGAGAGAGACTGTGTCCCCCTCCCCTTAACTCTTTGGAGGAAATTCTCGAAAGGTTTCTCTGGGGACAGGTGGAAAGTTAAGTGCTCCCCCATTTTACTCTATTGATTTGTGAATCTGTCCTGCTGTCCGCCTCTGGTCCAGCTTGCAACAGTCCCCGAGTTCTCTGGAAGGATGAGAATGCCGGAATAGAAGGCTGGAGTCGGTGCGGGCAGAAGCTGGGGACTTGGGGACCAGAAGGAGCCAGGGCGGGGTCCCGGCCTGGCGCTCGGGTGATAACGGTGGCCGGGTTTTGTTTGCCGGATATTGTTATGTCTAACCGGTGCCTTGCCGGAGACGTGATTTGTTGGCCGCCTTAGTTTTCACTTGAGAAGAGCAGCGGGCGACTGTGCGCAGTCCTGGCCTCCGGGACTCGGGAGCACGGTGCGTGTGCGGCACGAGAAGTGGGCGCGGGTGGGTGGCCCTGCCGACACCCGCTTAAGGGTGAGCGGGCCGGGCAGGGTGAGTGTGCACCGAGCCAGCCTCGGGGTTTCTCTAAGCGCCTTCGCGGGGCAGCGGCTCTGCAGTTTAGCAGAAATCCGACAGGGGCCGCGTTTGCTGAGCGCATCCGGCCGGCGGCAGCAGCCGGAGCGGGCTGCGGGGCCAGGCTGCTCAGTGTAGACGCTGGGAGAGGGCCGGAGGGTGGGGGGGAGCAGACGGGGAGGGGCTCCGGCAGCGATCTTGGCCCGAGTGAGCGCCACCCCCTGTCTCTGCTGTCCCCAGTGTCTCCCGCGAATTGGGTAGCTCTGAGCGCCGGGGCCTTGGCGCCCCGGTTCCCAAGCAGGGTTTAGGTGAACTTGGGGTGGGGTGTGTGTGTGCGTGTGTGTCTGTGTGTGTGTGTGTGTGTGTGTGTGTGTGTGTGTGTGTACGCACGCGCGCGCGTGGAGAGGTTAGAGTGGGAACCCACTGTTTTCTTTCCCAGATTGTTATTAACTGCATTTTGACTTTAAGACCAGCTTTGCTCACTGCTGGGGCTAGGAGGGGGGGCGGGGGGAGAGGCGATCTTTCCCCGTCACTCACATCTTTGTTCATTGTTCACTGAGTGGAAGGCAGGCGACTTAAAGAGAGCAAAAAGGAGAGAGAGAGAGAGAGCCAGGCCGGGGGGGGCAAGAAGAGAGAAAGAGGAGAGACTTGGGGGGCACCCCCGGAACCCCACCCGGATCTGGTTGGAGGGTGAAGTAGTAAGCCCACGCATGGAGGGTCGCCAGAAAAGTGGACATTATCGCTTTAATTAACTTCGAGATGCCCCGGCGGCGGGACCTGGCGTAGCGGTGACGCGCCCCCATAAATCTGCCGGGCCGGGCTGCTTGGAGAACTCGTACAGTAGCAGCGTCAGATCCTACGCGCGCCTCCCGGGCCGGAGTCCATTTACATAATTGGATTTTTTTTTTTTTGCCTCCTTCTTCCTCCCTGAAACTTGTTTGAAAACCCAAGTGAAAGCCCCGACGACCTGCACACGCAAAAGCAAGTGCCAAGTAAGTGCCCAGCGGTGTCCTCGGTGCGCCCCGAGGTTAAGGGGGCGCAGATGCCCCCGGAGCGGGCCCGGCTCGGGTGAGTGCGGGTAGCCGGCGGGAGCACCAACTCTGCCAGCCTGGCAGCTCAAGGAACTTTTCCTCTCCTTCCTCTGTCTCTCGACTTTTCCGGCGAGGTGAGGTGGTTGGGCCACGCGTGTACCTGTAGCAAGACTGAAGGGGAGATGCTGGGGGATGCTGTAGAGTTGGCATCGCGGGTAGCGGGTCCGGACCACCGCCGCCGCGGCTGTGGAGGGCTGAACTGCGAGCAAGCGGGGCTGGCTGCTTGTCACGCCGCGGATACAGTTTGTCGCCAAAAGCCTCCCCCATTATTCTAAGGTTTGTGTCTCCGTGCGTGTGTGTGTGTGTGTGTGTGTGTGTGTGTGTGTGTGTGTGTGTGTGTGTGTGCCCGCGCGCGCGAGCGCGCTTGCGCTTGTGTGTTCGGCTTTAAAAGGAAGAAAAGCTTCCAAAACCAGAGCAGGAAGCTTCCCTCTTGAACCCCCTCCCGCGGCTCCTCTGTTTCTAAGGCTCGAAAGGAGAGAGTGCAAGCCGTTTTGCTGAACACAGGGTCACCGACAGATTGACAATTCGGCTGGAAATGCCATAAATTCTGCAGCAGAGGCACAGCTGCGTGCATGAAATGCCGGCTCTAGCCCAACCATGGGAGTGGCTTCACAATCTCAAATTATTAAAAAGACATTATTTATTATTATTATTATTATTATTATTATTATTATTATTTACAGTGAGCAGGATGGGGGGGAAGAAGCCGATTGGTTGTGGGGAGGACTGTAGCTGTCCTTCCTGTTCCTGGGCCAGCCTGGGAACTTGCAGTGGGCAGGACCTACCACTCTGCCTGGAAGGGTTCTGAGGACTCAGCTTTAAGCTCTGGGAGTCGCAGGGGGGCGCCCCCCAAAGCCCTCTGGCCTTAGCTAGGAGAGAGCCCAGGGCTTCCGCTGAAGGCTTCTTTAGTTATGATGTCATTCTGATAGCAGAGTGCAAATGTCTCCTGATTCCACCATTACCCGCCTGGCTGAGTTGCTTGGTAATGATAGCTCCACCGGTCAGCTCTCTGACAAATGCAGGACCCAGAGCCTTAAGAATTAACTCCCTTACCCCACAGAGGGAGCCAGCTGCCCCATAGCATGACCATTGGGCTCAGCCTTTGCACTGGCCAGCCCCATGTAGATACTAGCTTGTGGGGCGGGGGTCAGGCCCCTGAATCCAGGGTCTCCTGTTTTCCCAAAGTTTGGAAAACTTTTAGCAGCCTTTGATGTTCAGAATACCCTTCATCCAGTGAAACTGGACTCTGATTGTGGACAGGCAGCTGTGTCTGGATCTGATGGATGGACCTCAGGTCTTGCTGCAGCAATTGTATGGATGAAGGGGTTGTGACATTTGCTTCTTACTGGCAGTCCATTAACTGTGACTTTATGTTAATATGGTTGCAAGTAAACTGGATTTTTTGTGTTGATTTTTAAATAGTGTACAATGATTTAAGATTTCTTTTGATTTACTGTTCAAATGAAATTTGCATAAATGTGATGAAAATGAACTTAACATCTGGGCATATGAAAAAAGGTTAACACCTCATATGTCATCCACAGAGAACGTCTTTAAAATGCTTTCACCCTAAACCGGGTTCGGGGGGGAAACAGTTCCTGGAGTCATAAATGGTAATTAGGTAAAACCTGGAGAAAACGCTTTCAATAAATTTGTATTCTCTTGGACCAGTGCTCTGAAATCCCATCTTGTTCCATGCCTGGAGTGCTTTACTTCTGAGCAGTCTTAGCAACTCAGCAACTTAACTGCTGGCCTGGGCTGTGTTCACGGAAGACTTAGGGCAGGCATGGAGCCATAGTCACGCTGGGCTGGTCCAAGCCAGAGGCCAATAGCCTCTATTATGGGAGAAGACAGGAACTGGTCAAAATGTGTGGCCCTACTAGTCAGGTCTGCCCGCTGGGTGCCGAGGGCTGTGATCAGACATGCATTGTCTGCTGAGTCCCAAAAAGCTGACCCATCAGGTTATTGTCTCTGCCTTAGGTAACCAGGGAAATTTCATCCGCTCAGACCTATAAAATCCACAAGCCCTTTCAAGTGAACTCTGAACTCCATCTTACTTTTCAAGCAAACCGAGAGCTTCTCTCTGGTGTCAGGAAATCAAACAGCCTTCCCAGAGCATGGCTGCCTCTTGCTCAAAAGTTGCCTATGAATGGCACAGGTGTTTTTAAAGTGCCTTGAATGGAGGGGAAAAAAGACAGCAACGATGCTCCTGAGAATATAGATGAACTTTTTTTTTTTTAAAGAGTATCATAAAAGAAGAAAGCAAAATAGATTTATTTTCCCGGTTTCAATGAGTACAATTATAGCTTTTTAACATCTTTGGATTTAGTGTTTTTAATAAGCCTTTTAAGTAAGCTGAAATATCGACTTGCATTTTGTTCTCAACATTATTTAAAGTGAGACTTGATGCAAATTTAAAACAGAAGTGAATTTCCATTAAGTCACCTTTTGTCCATGCTGAGGGTACAAGAGCCTCAACTCTATGGGAACCTGGAGCCCTTGGGTGCTGAGCTCGGCTTCATCTTGTCTCCAGTGAGGTCTTAGATTAGGCACAAGGACATGTGTTCTTGGTGACCTGATACCACCTCTCACGCTGCATTTTAGAGTCAAAAAGCAAGGGACAGGCCCTGACCTTAAGTGTCTGTGCTAGCACGGTTTCTTCAGTGAATCCACACCCGCTCCAGGATGGGATGCTTAAGGCCTGGCTGAGATTAAAAAGGGAGGACAAACATGGAGGTCTCTGCCCAGCTGGCTAGCCAGGCTCTTCTGGTATTTTGTGATTCCTGGGAGGGAGTTTTTCAAGGAAAGCCTCTGCCAAAGAAATGGTTTGGGCCCCGAGTCGCATAATGTGTAAAGTCAAAGGGAGCTAAGCCAGGAAGTGGCTTTTGATTGTCATAACTGGGGTCTCAGTTGAGGTGATGGCAGGTGTGTGTGTGTGTGTGTGTGTGTGTGTGTGTGTGTGTGTGTGTGTGTGTGTGTGTGTGTGTGTGTGTGTGTACAGGCATTCATACACACACGTGCAGAGGGAGGGTGCTGTCTGCTCAGGGCACCTGCCCTGAGATGATTTTCTTTTTTCACCCACAATTACAGCACACAGGAGAGACTAGTGAGTTTGTACGTGTGTGTGTCAGGTGGAGGATTGGTCTAGAAATGTTTGGAAAGAATCAGAAAGTACAAGGAAAGTGGGTCCTGGGCCAGGTGGGCTGCTGTTCTCTACGTCCTGCCTTATCTTACTTTTTCCAGATGAAGGCAGGCATGGACGAAAGCCACCTCAGGATAGTGAGCCATGAAGCAAGCCACCTGCCATTGGCCCCAGCAGGGTCTGGGGTAGGCCTTCCCTGGCCAGTCTGTGCCACCCATGGGTTTCTGTTGACTGCCTGCCATGAGCTGCGTGGTGCGGGCAGAGGGTGGCTTTTGGCCGGCTCTCTGGGCTACAGAGACTCTCTCCAGTTTCCACTTTCAAAATTCATTGTGGTCTTTGGTCTTCCTCTAGTATTGGAGGGACTCTAAAGAGCATCAAGTGCTCAGCTTTTCATACATGCTAGGCCAGCTGGAGATGCCTTGGATGTGGAAGCTCTCAGTACTCCCCCAAGAGACTTGACTGTCGGAGTCACCTGGGCACCATCGCTGCTGACCAAGATCTCTCAAAGGTGGTGCTAGGTACTTTTTCCACTTGTGGGTGTTGGTTCCCAACCCATTAGATATCAGTAGCACCCTGATTATAATCATAAGGATGTGCAGACATTTTCACATATTCCGCAGGTAGGAGAATCAAGCTCATTTTCTATATTGTGCACATACCAGGTCTTGTCCTGGACCTTTCAAAGAGGACAGAGGACAGGGAAGTCAGTTTTGGTCAAACCCCCCACCCCGCCCTCAGCTGATAGAGAACAGTGCCTGTAAGACCAGGGGATTCTGCCCTGTATCAAATGAGGGTAGCTTTGGGGATCTGAGAAGAGGGAGACTTTCCAGCCTGGAAGAATCCATGTGAACTATAAGAGGGTGTCCAGGGCAAGGTGTAAGACTCAATTGTGATGTTTCTAAATATCAATTACACCCTAAAAATGGCCCTGTGGGTGAGAACTGTGTCCCTGGACCACATGTAAACCAAGGAGCTAAAAGTGACCGTTCTCAGGATCTGTGGTGAGGCTGGGCACCCTGCTGGTGGGATAATGACAATCATTTATTTTTTAGCACTTACTCTGTGCTTTCCAACATCCCTATGTACCAGGGCAGATTCTATATTTATTCAGAGTTTCAAGAAGGAAAACTAAGGCATGAGTAGGGGAAGCTAGGGACCCAGGAGTAGCTCCTGGGTCCTTTCTGCCCTTTCTGTCCTTTCTGCCCCTAGAATTGGCACATTTTTCTCTCTGACTGTGAAATACCATCCTGCCCCATGTTCGGCTACCCTTCCCACACCAGGGGCTTTCAAGAGACAGGATGGGCATCATAGCAAGCCAAGGCATGCAGAAGCCTATGGGTGGTTAGCACAGAAGGACCATGCTATGCTTCCTGAGTAGTGAGAGATGGATGCAGGCTAACCATTTTCTATCTCCACTTTATACCATTCTTAGTTTATGGCTTTCTGATGAGAAAATTAAGTGCCGTTTTGACACAGGAAAAATGATCACCATAGGCTGGAGCTGACATTAACCTGAAGGTTTTCTATCAAGTTCTGCTGCTTTGATTACCTGAGTTGTGTTTAGTTGGGCGTTTGATTACGGAGGTGGAGGTAGGCTTGTCCCCTGCAATCCTGCCCCTCCCTCCTCCCATGGCTCTACCACCAGGGTGCTAGTCTGCCAGCTCCCTGTGGGGTTACATCATAGCTCCAAACTCCCCTTGCCTTAGGAGAGATCATCAGCCCCTTCAAAGTGTTTTAACCTTTTGTTGTGTCATTACCAAATCTCTCTCTCTCATTACCAAATCTCTCTCTCTCTGTCTCTCTCTCTCAGAGAGTGAGCAAGTGAGAGTGAGCTCTATTTAGGTTGTAAGAGGTAATTCATAGATTCTCTAAAAATGGAGATTAGTCACAGAATTGTCCATTCAGTTTTTATTTTAATGATTATATTTCTAGTGTTCCCATATAGTCCCCAAAGATTTGTTTTGGGTTTATTTATTCCTTTAAGACAGGAATATATAGTTCAGGCTGGCGTTGAACTCATGACCTTCCTGCTTCAGTGTACCAAGTGTTAGGATTCCAGATAAGCGCCACCAAACCCTGATGTTCCACCTACAGGCTCCTGCAGCCCTCAGACAGGGACTTGGGCTCATGGAAG